GGAGAAGTTAGTGGAGAGGTATGGAGAAATATTTGGGGAAGAGTTGGGTTGACTAAAGGGTTATGAAGTGGAGATTCGGATGAAGGATGGATGCGTACCAAAATTTTGTGCTGTTCGTAGAGTACCTTTTGAATGGAGGCAGGAGGTAGGGAAGGAGTTGGATCGTTGGGTAAAAGAGGTTATCGTGAGTCCGGTTGAATACAGCGAATGGGCGACGCCTTTGGTACCCGTAAAGAAGGCCAATGGGAGTTTGAGGTTGTGTGCGGATTTCCAGGTAGCGTTGAATCCATGTGTAGTAGAGGTGAAGTATCCGTTACCCAGGATAGAGGAGATATTGGCCAGTTTAAAGGGGAGCAGATATTTTTCGAAAGTGGATTTTTCGAACGCGTATTTGCAATTACGGGTAAAAAAGGAGAGGCAGAGGTTGTTGACTATAACAACGCCAAAGGGCTTATTTGCTTTTAGAAGGTTGCCGTTAGGGTTGAGCGTATCGGCACCTATGTTTCGACGGACGATGGCGGTAGTTTTTCAGGGATTAGAGGGAGTGTTTTATTATACCATGATGTAAAAATAACAGGGGTTACTCTAGAGCAGAAAAATCGAAGGTTGGAGGTGGATGAGTATTTGCAGCGTGTTACTGGAGTGGTGGAGTCTTTTCAGCGTGTATGCAAAAGTGGGAGTCCGAAATTTTTTTAGTAATGAAATAAATTAAAAGGATTTTAGGTTGTAGTTACTCTTAGAAGAAGACGATGGAGGAATAATAATTATGGAAATATTTTCGAATAATCGATGGTCAAAGGTGTCCACTTACAACAATAACAGAAGAATTCCTAGGGGTGATCAAAGGGATTGGGGTCTCAAGGATTGGTTAAAGGGGGGAGGTGTCATAATTGGGAGACTTTGATTTGTAAAATTTGATTTTTGGTAAAGTCAGTATGTATTGCGTTTGATGAGTCATTTTTATTTTTATAATTTTATGTTTTAGTTAAATTGGTGAGTCATTGTTATTTTTATAATTTTATGTTTTAGTTTAATCGCGTTAACATTTTATTTTTAGATTTATAAAAGTTAATTATTGTAAATTCATCATGATGATAGGATTTAATTATTTATTTGTGATGATTATTGCTTCCCTATAAAAGGGAAGCGAAAATTATAAATAATCAATTCATTTCTTTTTTTGAATTCATTTTTTTTTTAATTAATTTTTTTTTAACAATTAATTTTTTTTCGATTAGAATTATTATGAAATTATTATAAAATTATATAAATTTGGATTGAAATAAAATTATTGTTTTCTACCCGGACTTGTACGGCACAACGCTAATATATATCATCCATAGTTAATCTTGTAAGCATAGTTATTCAACTAATAAGGCATCTTAAGATACTTTAACATCTTCTCATGATAAAAATCTAACAAATATTTTTTTTCTATCACCATCTAAAAAAGGTTGGGAAAGCTTTTGGGAAGTAATATTTTCAGATTGGTAAGTGTTGCATGATGATCATTTATTTGGGTTATAAATATATCTAAGATATACTCTTCTACTGGTCCTATATTAATGTTTTAACGATGAGCTTGCTTGTCGAGGGAGACAAATATTAAACACATATAGCTCTGCTTTTGACAACAATTATATATAAAATATGAAATTCTTCATCAACATTAGCCCTAATATCCTTGAGTTCTAATAAAATGCTCTCCGCTATTCTCATCTTCTTAATCAAATCAATGTCATGTTTTTGAAAAGTAATACATAAAATAGCTGTATAATTAAATAATACATTCTAATAGAAAAAAAATTTGGAATAAGCATTGAATCCAATAATTTTCTTGCTTCTGATATATTTCTTTCAGGCCATTGTGATATTTCAGTAAGAGCAAATAATTGGCTCTTCTAACTCCATAAAAGCTGTTACTGCTTGATGGCGGATAGTCTATCTCAACAAGGTTGCAATTTTTTCTCCCTGTTGGACAAGAAGTTTCAGAAATAATTATTATTTGACTTAAATTTAAAAATGGTAGACAAATATTACGCCACTAAAAATTTGAAAATTAAGTAAATATTACGACGGAAAACTTAAAATCGAAATTAATTTCTAAAATAACTTAGTAGATGAATGTGATAATAAATGTAATTAAATATATTGAATATAAAATTGGAATAAATATTAACAAATATAAATTAATATAAACAATAATATTTTTGAATAATATATCCGGAATCTGCATTTTTTAGCTTCTTTTTTTTTTGGGGGGGGGGGGGATTTCCCCCCCCCAATTCCGCTGCGTACTTGCCTGGTTTAGCACCCTCTTGTATATCTGATCAAAATGTTATTTATTATGCTGTTAAAAATAGATAAAAAAAATTATTATAAAAAAATTTCATCTTATAATATATTATTGCTACATAATTATTTATATAATATATAATAATTTTTTATATATAATATTTAATTTCTCAAGTAGCGATTAACGACTTTATGAATAGCCGGTAACGCGCGTTCCTTTTTCACAAAGTAACAAGTAATAGTAATGTATTCCTTTTTTTTGACGTAACAAGTAACGCTCCTTTTTGAAGTAACGTTTAGAGCACTAATTACAAATATAAAAAGTTAGGCTTTAGAAATATATGATATCGTAACCATAAAATTAAAAAAAAATTGGCGCATAGTGAAAAAAGATGAAAGAGGAGGTGTTCGTTTTAATGATACCAACCCCAATATACTTCTCGGGATGTTACCCACGGATTCAGAACGATCTCTGAGAGCTAACTATTTAATTTTTAATTCATGTATACCTACAAAGAAATTCAAGTATGAAAAACTCACGATCGATTATAAGAAAACATAAAAGCCATATGTTTTAATTTTCATGTATTTTAACCAAAACAAAAGAGAGTCGTGAAAAAAACTATTTGAATTTTTATATATTTAAACCTAAACAAAATAAGGTAAAAAAACCCATTATACAATAAAATAAGAAACAATATTTAACAAATAAATTACCCCAATTAATTTTTTTTATTAAATACAATTATACAAAACTCTCATCCTGTGATCCAGTTATGAGGGTTTAACTCTGCAAAAGCTATGCTAAGTTCTAAGTGCCATATCATATTTTTATCGAAAAAAGGATATGAAAATCAATTGTTAAAAATATAATAAAAAATCATTACAAAATCTTATCTATAATGGGGAAAAAATAAATAATAATAAATTTATATATAATATTTAGTATAAGCAACGAGTAACGTAAATGGGGAGTAACGCTTACTTTTTTTTTCATCTAAGTAATTTGTAAAATTTCTTTGTAAAAATTTAGTGTATTTTATTTAAGCAAGTCGAATAGAATAAAGTAATTTAGATCAAATCCTTTAAATGAGTTAGACGGTTTAAGACCGGCTAATTAAATTAAATAAATCAATTAAAGTTTTTAACAATAGCACCATATTGATTAAATTAGTAATTATTCATTTACAAATTATTGGATATTTTATTGATTTATTAATTAATAGTTAATGTGCTCTGTGCTATTTAATAATTTAATTCATTTGAACCTTATTATATTTATGGTTTTACTTTGGCATCCTACAGTTGCATGGTTAACTGAAGTTATAGGCTCATCTGTTAGTATAGATGTTGAAAAATAAATAAATAAATAAACAAATAAAATATAAAAAAATACGTACAGATGACATGACGTAGCGATGTGACGTAGTGAGGACATCGGAAAATTATAATATAGATATCATCAAAATTGGATAGTGATTAATCACCCATGTAGATAATTTTAGTTGTGCAATATGTTATTCTTGCCAGCCTTTCTCCTGTATTTATGAAGTGAAGTAGTGTAAACCGTCCTATTAAAAAAACTGTCTTAAATCCAATTCTATACATTTGTGCGATATTAACCATCACATTAAAAATAACTTAGCCTTAAATCCACACTTATGCAATGGTTTTAAATTAACTCTATCTACCCTTATACGGTGGTGTGGTATAAACCGTCACTTTTCAAATAACTTAGATTATAAGATATATTTTAAATTCATTTTTATAGAGTTATATTGATGCTATATAAACCGTCCTACGATAAATAAAGTGGAGAGGTGAAAGTCCATTTATTTAGTAAATGTTTAAGGTGTCAGTTTTCAATTTGCTTTTCTTTAGATTTAGATTAGCAACCGATAACTCAGATTTAGAAGAAACAGGTCCCTATTCACCCCTCCCCCAGAAATTTCCGGACCATCCTGTAATCGATCTCTCCCCCGTTTCATCATTTGTGGCTACCACGAGCTAGATGAAAGCACAATAAATACCTAGCTTAAGCTTATTTGTCCACAAGGAATCACCCAACCCTGAAAAAAAATTCCCAGGAAAATAATACCCCAGAAATACTCCCTGGAAAAAATCTCCATTAAACCATAAATGAAATTTTCTAGAAAGTAATTCCCCAGAAAGAAATTTATCGGAAAATAATTCCCCGGAAAAAAATCTTAGGAAAAAATTTCACTGAAAAAAGTTAATTAATTAAATACGTTTTCAAAAAATTAACAAAATTTATAATATATCTTTTTATTTTACCAATTAATTAAAAAAATTAGAAAAAATTGCCACTTAACTTCTTCACTGAGATAATAATTTTTAAGAAATATTTTCCTTTTTTTCTGTCGGCGGTGTTATTTATGATAATTAAAAAAACCTATTAGGGGAATTTTTTCCCAGGGAATTTATCTTTGCATTATAAATTTAAATTTTGAAAATTAGGGGATCTATTTTCAGGGAAATTTTTTTACCGGGGAGATTTTTCCAGGTAAATATTTTCTTGTGATTTATTTTTTGTGTATTTCTCGATGGAATTTTTTTGGTGAATTATTTTCCCCTCACCATCCACAACACTAGAAAGCATACTCTTATATCACGTATTTTTCTGCGAATACATAATTTGCGCACAAACACCTAAACGCTACAAGAACAAAATAATTAAAAATATTCAAACCATTCGTTCATAAAATATGCTCAAGTAAAAAAAAAATCAATTTTATATTTTTGAATTTATATAATCCTAGGAATTTTCTACCAAAGGAATTTTATGAAAAATGTTTAGTAAGTTTTTATTTAATATATATATATATATATATTATATTTTCGTAATAATTATTTAAAGGAAGCAAATTTAAGACCTGATTATAGAAAATATAATGAATACAGAAATATAAATTTATCTGGAGGTAAATAACATTGTTTATAACTAAAAGGCGATATTTTTTTGAAATTGATAAAATTTATCTACTTTTTTTTGATAATATTATCAAATAATAAAGACAGTTTATAAGTTATAACTTTTATAGGTATTTTATATTTATCATGAAATATATTTTTTTATCAATAAATTTACCTATATTTTATAATAATTATAAATTTGTAGGTTCAATTACTTGTGCAAATGGTTCATCCTTGATTAAAATTGGCAATACAATTGTTACGTGTGGTGTTCAAGCCAAGCTCAATCCATTTGATAAAATTAATCCATATGAAATTAAAATTGAAGAAATATTTAGTAATATGGTTTATATTAAAAAATGATTTATTTTCTTCATTAGATATTAGGGTTCATATTCCTGCCATTTGTCATTTACAATTTAAAAATGATATGATTTTATCTGATTACATTTTATATCTTAGACAATTTGTAATAGAGGCCTTTGAAAGGTAAACCCCAAAATAATGTATTTATTGAGAATAAATGATTATTTATATATTATATTTGTTTTATTCATTTAAGCTCTAATATAATTGATTATAAGGACTTTTTAACCATGAAAGAAAAATATATTTGGGAAATAATTTGTGATATAATGTGCATAAATGATGATGGAAATTTGCAAGATGCCTTGTTGCTCAGCTTGGTAGCCGCGCTTAAGAATAGTATTATATTGTTGCCTATATCTTTTACTATTATTAATTGGCTCAATTTTTTAAAATGGCTAGCCAAATATTTTGCCAAAAATTATTACACAAGTCTAGAGATTTATCTCATAGATGGCAAAATGGTTTGGACATCTATAAACAAAATCTCGAAGCTTGTATAATATTATTTTGGCTAAACTCTTAATTTAAAATTGCATAAATCGTATATCATCTAACAACACTAATATTTCTTACCCTTTTTACATTATATTTATTAGTTTGTTGATATATTTTTTGTTAAGTTATAACTATTATACTTTATAATATTTATTTATATTAAAAAAAATTAAATTTGTAATAGCAAAGATTCCCATTATCAATGAAACAACTGTATCTACAAAAGAAAACATAGTTAATACAGATGAAAACATGATTATAGAAAATGCCAATAATCAAAATTTTAATACTGACAATAAAAAAGAGGATATATCTAAAAATGTTAATTTTAATATTCCAGATGATTGCCCTACACAAAATTTGATACTTAAATCGGCACCCATATCAGTGACATTTGTATACTTTGACAAGTTAATTAATGATAGAATTGTTTTATTTTTTTTTGAAACCTTTATTTTAATGAATTAAGTTTAATTAATACACATATATTAATGGCCATGCTAAAATATCTGTTTAAAAAAAACAGGCTTAAACTAAATGAAATTTATAAAATTTAATTTGTGAAATATTTGATCAAATAACTTGAACTCCTTAAAAGTTAATCTCATAAAATATGGGCAATATTTAGCTGAATTTGACTTGCTAAATATAATAAAATCAATTTATTGTTGCAAATATTATAACTTAATTAAACATTAAAAAAAAATATAATTTTGATTTATTCACATAGCATTAATAGGAAATTATATATAGAATGAAAATATTTTATAAAATCATAAAATCAATTTAATTTTTATAAAAAACTTTATTTTATATTTATTGTAAAAATCAATAATTATGTTTCCATGGGGATTCAAAATCTCAATTTATGACCATTTACTGAGGGAGATTTTTAAAAGGCTAAAAATCTGATTTGACCATAAATGTATTCTAGCATACGTATAATACCTACCCTACAAATTTTAGCAATTTTGTGTATTTTTTAATTTATATAAAAATTGATATAAATTTAGAATCTTCAAAAGTTCTAGCCAAGATTGCTTGAAATTTATAAACATTTAATACATTTCCGGTCAAATCAATATTTTAAAATCGCCCTTGGGTCATGCCAAACCGATCATGGTTTGGCCGACCCCTTTCAATTTTGATGAAAATTCGTATACAAAACTAAAATTCTGGTAATCTATACTTGGGCAAAATTTTAGCTTCCTAGCTGTTATATTTTTGAAGATATTTACTGTACATGAAAAGATGCCTTTTTTTTGTTCGTGGCTATATTCATTAATTTAAGGATTGATTAAAAATTACGCAATTATTTATAATAAATCTAGTATTAAAATAAAGTGTTACAATTCCGTATAATTGTATCATATTTATCGAAGGATTTAAGGGAGACAACTAAAAGCTCCAAGGCAAATTACCGAGCTTATTATATCTGAAAATAAAAATGAAACTTTTAATAATTTGTATAAATTATAAGAAAAAGACTAATATAATTAATTAATTTAATAATAATTCTTACGACTTTATTCACGAGAGATTTCAACAATTTTCACCAAAAAGATTTTATTCACGAGATTTCAACAATTTACACTAAAAATTTACTAAATCAAAAAAAAAACTACTTTATTTAAAAATTTTTATGTTTTTTATATAAATTTTTAATATGTAAAAAAAAATTGAAAGTAAATTAAAGTTCATCATATAATAATATATTCCAAAAACCTAAATATTCAAATATGTCTAAATATTAAATTACAATCGTCAAAACTCGATTAACAATATTCAAAACGAAAATAATTATTTTACAACATATCAAATTACCGCGTAATTATAAAAATGGAATAAAACACATAAATATAGCATCCCCTCCCCCTTGAAAACTAACTTTCTACAGCGTTTTTCGTCTGCTCCCCATTTTCTCACACTGGTAAAGCTGCGTTATTATCCGACGTTTCCAATGCGATGGGAAATCTTAACTTGTGCATCCCTCCACAAGACCAACATTCTAAACGGCTTTTCTTTACCCAAAATTGTGCAGTCCTACGTTCATATCGTTGTCTCCTGGGCACCTCCTGCAGTGATTTTGTTGGGCTTCTGTTCTTGCAGCTTCCATCCATTTGTTTGATTCTAACGACCCATCCACCTCTCTAATTTCAATTTTTATGATTTTATTTCCTATTCGGAAGTAGGAAGCCATCTAAAAAAAATTACTATATAAATATATCTATATTCTTCATTCTTCTAATGATCCTTTATAATCCATGGTATTCCATCAACATTATTATTCTCGTAACCGTTTTATTCCTTTATAAATTATGATTCTCATAATTAGGTCTATCATCAATTTTATTTCATCAAAAATTATGATTCTCCTAATTAGGTCTATCATCACTATTCCTTTATAAATTATGATTCTCATAATTATGTCTATCATCTATCTCATTTCATCAGAAATTATGATTCTCATAATTAGGTCTATCATCAATTTATTCCTTCATAAGTTATGATTCTCATAATTATGTCCTATCATCAATTTCATTTCATCAGAAAATATGATTCTCATAATTAGGTCGATAGGTCTATCATCAATTTATTTCTTCTAATAATTCTAATATAATTATATCTAATATCCCTTTATTGCCCTAAGCTTCTAAGTCTTACTTGTTTAAGGTGTCTAGTACAGGTTCCCCTTTGTCCTTCAATTTCTACCTCTACTCTATTTATTCCTACATTTTTTTTACTACACCCTTTCCCCATTTTATTGGACCATCAATCATCAGTATCCACACTAAGCTTCCAATTTTAAATTTATTATTATATGGGCTTTCTTGCTTCTCTAATTTTTCCTTTAAAAATTCTAATTCAGTTCTTGTTTTCCTACCTAAAAATATCTAAGCGGGTGACTTTCCTTTGGCTATTTTAGAGTTGTTGTAATCTAATAATAATAACCACCATTTTCCTTCTCCATATTTTTCTTTCTTTAGCCAACTTTTAACAATAGCTACCATTCTCTCGGCTTGCCCATTACTTCACGGGTAATGTAGTGGAGACAATAAATGCTTAATATTCTACCTATCACAAAATTGGTCAAAAACTCTACCTTTAAACGCTGGGCCTCCATCCGATACCAAAGTTTCCATTAATCCATATTTACCTGCAAAATCTTTTATTTTCGTCAAAGCTATTTTTGTTGTTAAACCTGAAACCTGTTGACAATCTATCCAGAATTACTGCAGGAGGTGCCTAGGAGACAATGATATGAACGTAAAACTGAACAATTTTTGGTAAAGAAAAGCCGTTTAGAATGTTGATCTTGTGGAGGGATGCACAAGTTATGATTTCCCATCGCAGTGGAAACGTCGGATAATAACGCAGCTTTACCAGTGCGAGAAAATGGGGAGAAGACAAAAAACGCTGTAGAAAGTTAGTTTTCAAGGGAGGAGATGTTATATTTATGTGTTTATTTCATTTTTTATAATTACGCGTTAATTTGAATATTTGAACCAGAATTATGTTGTTATATGTATTTTCGTTTTGAATATTGTTAATCGAGTTTTCGACGTTTGTAATTTAATATTTAGATAGATTTGAATATTTAGTTTTAGGAATATATTGTCATATGATGAACTTTAATTTACTTTCAATTTTTTTTTGCATAGTAAAAATTTATATAAATACACAAAAAATTTTAAATAAAGTAGTGTTTTTTGATTTAGTAAATTTTTAGTGTAAATTGTTGAAATCTCGTGAATAAAATCTTTTTGGTGTAAATTGTTGAAATCTCTCGTGAATAAAGTCGTAAAAATTATTATTAAATTAATTAATTATATTAGTCTTTTTCTTATAATTTATACAAATTATTAAAAGTTGCATTTTTATTTTTAGATATAATAAGCTCAGTAATTTGCCTTGGAGCTTTTAATTAGTCTCCCTTAAATCCTTCGATAAATATATAACAATTATAAGGAATTGTAACAGTGTGTTGTGATATGTAAGAAATAAAATCGAGAAAAAGGAAGTAATATTCAAATCGACCTTTAAACAGAAAAACGAAACGAATTATTATATTATTTGAGTACAGACTATGTAAATGAATAGTATAGAAAAGTATATATAATCGAGGATATTTTACTTGTAAAAGATATTATGAATTTGCGAACATAATTTTTGATCTTTTAATTTTAATTTTTCTTATATGATTTTATTTTGCTGTTTTATTTTTGATTTATTTAAATACAATTTATATTAATTAATAAAGTATTAGTAGTTAATTTATTTATGCTATTTATTTGTATTCTAAATTCACAACTACAACAGAATTGTAACAGTTTTATCGAAGGATTTAAGGGAGACTAACTAAAAGCTCCAAGACAAATTACCAAGCTTATTATATCTAAAAATAAAAATGAAACTTTTAATTAATTTGTATAAATTATAAGAAAAAGCTTATATAATTAGTTAATTAAATAATAATTCTTACGACTTACCAAAAAGATTTTATCAACGAGATTTCAACAATTTACACTAAAAATTTACTAAATCAAAAAACACTACTTTATTTAAATTTTTTTGTGTATATATATAAATTTTTAATGTGCAAAAAAAAATTGAAAGTAAATTAAAGTTCATCATATAATAATATATTTCAAAAACTTAAATATTCAAATATGTCTAAATATTAAATTACAACCGTCGAAAACTCGATTAACAATATTCAAAACAAAAATAATTTTACAACATAATTCTGGTTCAAATATTCAAATTACCGCGTAATTATAAAAATGAAATAAAACACATAAATATAACATAAAGAATATACTTTTTATCTTTAGTAAATATAAGTAAAAAAATAAAAATTATTTTAAAAAATTTCTAGACCTCTTATTCTCAGAATAAAAATTCAAATCCTGATAACGAAAATTGAGTAACATAGATTTATATAAAACTTAAGATAAACATTACTATCACCATTCTATATGAGTTTATAAAACAATGGAGCCGATCGACTTGTCAAAATCGATAAAAACCAGTAAAAAATAAAAATAAATTTTATACTCTAGATGGCATTTAATTTTTCTAATTATTTTTAATAATGTATTTTTACGATTAATTTTATATAATAACTTCTCTACTTCTTTCCTAATTCAACACTAAGTTCTGTAATCTAGTCAATATTCCTAACCATCAATGGCTAAAAAAAGAAAATTCAATATGAATGGAAAGTTTTTCAATAGCTGGCAATCAAAGTTTGCAAAAACTAAGCTATTGGCAGACAATGAATTATTAATTGTATAATTTTGCAGTGAATTATAGCCTTGTTATTCAGGATGCAGCACAAAGTTATTACTAGACCAACACTGTGGCAACAATTCATCCGTTTGTTATATATATAATATAGATATCACAC